CATCCCCTTGACTCCATGTATAGCAGCAAGAGCACAGGACCAGGGTTCAAGTCTAGGTTGTGCTACTGGCTAGCTGAAAGCCCACACGCCATCCTTGAGTCTTAGCTTCCACATCTGCACAATGGGAGTCATTATACCACCTTCTTGCCATGATTCTAAGCTGAGGTGTTTGCAAACACCACACATGACAGAGGTGGGCTGTGATCGCTGTTTTTCTAGGCCACCAGTGGACTTTCTAACCATAGAAATCTGGACCAGGCAGACAGGTAGAAATAGCTTTGGGACACGAAATTCCTTACCATCTTTTTTTTTTTTTTTTTAATTTTTTTTGAGGGGGAGGAGGGGCAAAGAGAGAGGAAGAGAGAGAATTCCAAGCAAGCTCTGTACTGTCAGCACAAAGCACAACGCAGGGCTCAGTCCCACGAACCATGAGATCATGACCTAAGCCAAGATCAAGATTCAGATGCCCAACTGACTGAGCCACCCAGGCACCCACTTACCATCTTTCTTTATATTCAGTCTTCTTAACTGAGAGGCTTCCACTTCTCCTTAGGAACAAGAGAGAGATGAGTGTTTACTTTGAAGAGGGGTGCCAGGTAGGGTTTTCTCTTCTCTGCCTCACTCAGACCGGCTCTCCTGGGTTCCTCTTCCTGGGTCAGAGGGCACTCACCACAGGGCCAATCAGGGCAAAGCTGTGAAGGTGGGGTGTGTCTGTCCTTGGGAGCCCCACAGACCCCTTCCTCTCTACCCAACCTGAGTCTACATTCTGTTTCCTTTCTCCTGAGCTTGGAGAGCCCTTCCCAGAATCAAGGTGACACTCTGGCTGGTGATGTAGTCCCTGCTTGACTGACCCACCCTCTCAGGCTGTCTGGTCCTGCCCTAACCCCCCCGGAATGGAGGCCACCTCCCCCTCTCCTCTTGGAGTTTGTGCATTTACCACTTGCTGGGTCAGAGCCTCTCCTTCGGAGTCCTGGAAATCAGAAACTCAACATTAATGCCAGGCTAGCTTGGTCCCTTAACAGGTGCCTCCACCCTAGCAGAGGAAGTAGGTCACCTCTGAAAATCCCAAGTCAAATTCTCCAGCCCCCAAGGGATCTTTCTATCTATTGATTGCTGACTGAAATCCCATTGCCTCTTGCCTAAAGCCCCTTTCTAATCTGCACTGGGCCCCTGCCTGACTGAGCCCAGGTCAGAGCCCCGGGTCCACAAGTGGTTTTGGAGTCCCCAACTCACACCCAGGAACCCTGATAGCAGCTGGCTCTCTCAGGGGAAACAAAACGCCCAGACCTGTTCATCATCAGCACTGACAATCCCTATCCCCTAACTGGACACTCACCTGATTCTCCAGAGGGCACCACCTCTCCGGAGACACCTACACAGAAGGAAAATCAGCGATCACATATCCATTATCCTCTGGGTGGGGAGCAGTTATACTGTGGGGCAGATGGATCTCATTCAGAGACTTTCCATTTGATCTGAGTGGGCCAAGAGGTGACTGGAGCAGGCTGGAGGGCTATTCCATCTCGAGGGGCAACTACCCACCAGCCACCAAAAGCCACTGTAGAAAGGCCTGTCCAGTGTTACAGGTCATCCAATTTCCCACAAGAGGGCAGAAATCCAGGTTTTACATCAACTTTTTTTTTTTTATTTTAATAGAGAGAGAGAGAGAGAGCGCACACTGGAGGTGCAAAGAGAGAGAATCCCAAGCAGGCTCCACACTGTCAGCACAGAGCCCGATGCAGGGCTGGAACGAACTCACGAACCATGAGATCATGACATGAGCCGAAACCAAGAGACAGACGCTCAACCGGCTGAGCCACCCAGGTGCCCCTACATTAACTTCTTGATTATAGAAAAGGTGGGCACCTCTTGTATTCCACTGAATCAAAGACATCCTTTGTGAGAAATGACATTATTTTCTATATTTCTATGTAAGGAAAACCACTGCCAATTTTAATTGTAAGTTGCCAGCAATTTTCAGATGCATCCTGACCTTAGAGATATCTAAATGTGAAAAAGTAGGAGTTGTATAATTGATGAAATGTAATAATAATAATAATAATAATAATAGTAACACTCCTTGAGCCAGATAAAACACATCTGCACACATGTGGGCATCAGTTTGCAACCTCTGCCTGTTCATGACTACACAGATGCAGATGACGACACCTAGCCATGTGGCCCAGCCCCACCAGGCCCTGAGTTCATGGGAACCAAGCTGGGCTGCACATTGGTAACTCTGGTCCCACACCCTGCTGAGTGTTGAACTCCTTGTCTGGGCGGCTGAGGCTGATTTGAGCCCTCTGTACTTGTCCCGAGCTGCTGCCTCCCCAATTAATCTGGTTTAGGGTGGCCTACCCACCCCATTCATCCTGATTCTTGGTGCTTATTCTAGTTCCTGGGGACCTCTCTCCCAGCCTGTCAAATCCTTTCCCTCAAGGGCAGGGAGAACCCCTTGTAGCATCCCCACCCCCCCTCCAACAGGTAGTCACTACACCTGTACACTTCCCATTCTTCATTGGGTCAGCCTCAGGACACGAACATCAGAAGAGGGCACTCAGCACACAACAATAAACATGCTGAACTGTTTTTATGCAAATAGGTCTTTATGTTGATATGCAAATAGGAAACATCATCTGCAGGTGACCTGAGGGGTCAATACTGAGGGTACGGAGAACATACCGAGAACAGTATGAATTAATGAGACTCTAGGAGTGTAATTTACTTAGAATCTCCTAGGTCTTGGGGGGAAAAAGTAATTCACAAATTCACAAACCGTGGTGATATCTACCTTTCAGTGAATATGAACTACTTTTATGATGAGAAAAAAACATTTTTAAATATATGTAAATGTAACTGTTTCTCTCTCTTTCATTTTACACCCAGTGAAACCATTCCCACAGTACTTCAGTAATTAAAAACATTTTCCTAAACCAAGTAATACTTGGCTTTGTGAAAGAGAGAGAATGAGAGAAAGAAAGAAAGAAAGAAAGAAAGAAAGAAAGAAAGAGTTCAGGCAAGCAAATAAAACAGTATTAACTATTTACCCACAATGCTACCACCCAGAGGAAGACACCGGTAATATCTTGATGCAGAAATTAAAATATTCTGTTTACCTTTCTTAGAATTATTATCTAACACCTTATTATCAGGTGTTAGGAGACTATGTAGATTATAGAAATGTTGGATTAAACAAAGTTAAACAGGTTTTCATTTTCGTATCTGCAGTACACATTTGTTAGGCTTTTTTGGCAAACTGGCTCATTCCTACAAATTGCCCCCATTGCATCAAAGTGCTACCAAGCAAAGTGCCATGTTTACAACTCCTTGCTGTAATAACCACTATGTCGAGATGATTATTCCATGAAGTATTTAGAGATCAGATCCTTAATTTTCCCATGCATGTGTACATAGCCCACTATTCCAAGATAGTGCGTGCTAATCATGTTCTATTTCGCTGGTTGGAAAGCTCAGGCCCAGAAAGATTGGCAGACTTATCTAGGTCGCCCTGCAAGTCAAGATTATAGTTCAGAAGAGAATCCGGGGCAGTCTCCCCATGGTAGAAAATGCTTGTCCCCATCCCCATCCGCCAATGTTCTAACCATTCATCTGGCCATATTTCCTATATTTTCCTAGCACTTTTCAGCCCATTGAAACACCCTCGTGATCTTGTTTCTGTCCCACAAAGTCCAGAGAGCTCACGTCTCTGTGTAGTTCCCTTTTCTCCAAGACCACTGGACAATGACTTACCTCCATAGAGCTGAAGCTCGTCCTTCAAAAGGTCAGGCTCCTCATGCACAGCACCTGAATGGAAACATCCTTTTAGCCAGCTCTTCCCAGTCACAGTATCCCAGGACAGCTTCCATCTCCCACACATCTGAAGTCTTAAAAAGTAACATAAGCCTTGTTTGTGTTGGGGTGAGCCTGGCAGTCTTTAAGAGGCAAGACAGCCTTCACAAGTACTTTCCCTTTATGCTGTCTGACTCCCCCCACACGCTCAGAGGTGACTGTGGTCAGCTTCGTGGACCTGGGTCTGAGAGGTCCTGAGGATCTGAGAGGACCTGAGCCTCCTTCAAAATCAATAGTCAGAGTTGCCATTTATTGAGCACTTACTATGTACCAACACGAACTTAGATATTTATATTTAACATTTTGTTAGAACCCTGGGGTGACTGAGTGGCTCAGTCAGTTAAACATCCAACTCTTGATTTCCACGCAGGTCATGATCTCACAGTTCATGAGATCCAACCCTGCCTTGAGCTCTGTGCTGACGGTGTGGGGCCTGATTGGGGTTCTCTCCCTGCCCCTTCCCTGCTTGTGTGCTCTCTCAAAATAAAAACCTAAACTTAAAAAAAAATATTTTGTTAGATCCTTATGGAAATCCAATGAAGAAGGTATGAGTATCTCTTCTTTCCCCATTTTATGGGTAAGGGAACTGAGGGTCCCAAAGTTAAATTATTCCCTGAAGGTCACACGGCCAGTAAGTGGCAATTCCAGGGTTCAAACCCAGATCTGTCACCAAAACCTGCAATCATAATCACTTTTATCTTCAGAAATAGAGCCCAGAACTCAACTCTAGCTTCCTGGGCAGCATTTATTAAACATCTCCCAGGTTCTGTGTGCCAGATTCTGTACTAGGCATTAATACAGACTCTTCGCCTCATGCTCTTTTCTTCCCACAACCCACTTAGGCCAAAATGTATTTAAATATTTTATTTTTGCAAAAGTTTTCTTCTGGTTGTTAAAATAGAACACGTTCACTGTATAATTTTTATAGCCAAAAAAGCAAAAGCCAAAAATCACCCACAATTTAACCATCCAGAGATATCCAGAGATAACCACTCCTGACACTTTGCTATTTTTCCTTCCAGTCTTATTTATGGCCACGTATGTGTGAATTTTTACAGAGTATATATGAGATCAAACCAGTCATATAATTTGGCATCTTTCTTGGTCACTTCAGAGATGTATGAAGAACAGAACTGTAGCCAGGGAAGGGTGTATTTTGCTGTCGTTGGACACGAGGCTGCTTGCCATTGGTGCCTTACTATAAACATGGCTGTGAGGAACATCTTTAAAAAAATTTTTTTTAAGCATTTATTCATTTTTCAGAGTAAGAGAGACAGAGCATGAGTGGGGGAGGGGCAGAGAGAGAGGGAGACACAGAATCAGAAGCAGGCTCCAGGCCCTGAGCTGTCAGCCCAGAGCCCAATGCGGGGCTTGAACTCATGGACAGCAAGATCATGACCTGAGCTGAAGTCAGACACTCAACCGACTGAGCCACCCAGGCACCCTGTGAAGAACATCTTCACGCAGGTATGCTCATTCCCACTGAGAAACTCAATCAGGAGCTGGGTGGGCAAAGGAGAAATGGCAAGGCTTATCGCCTACCAGGTGAGCTGTCCCTGGGGGGGTGTCCAGCCCCCTGGCTCTGCCGACGTTTTCCGGTTACTCTGGGGTGCTGGTCCTCATCACTGCTCCCTGCAAGGAACAAACACAAACTCAGCCTGGCATGAGCCTGAAATACATTCGTTCTGATGTTTGTTCTCAGAATTTAGCTTATATGAGGAGTGTGGTCTGGAGGAAAGAGCACTGTTTGGGGGGGGAGGGGCGGTGGTGAGGGAGGAGTAGGAGATCAGCCACAAACTTTCTGTGTGACCTTGGACAACTCATTTAATATTTCCACTGTTGCTTTCATGAAGATAAGATGAGGTCACCTGAGGCATCCTATGATAAGCACAGGGGCTGTGTCATCTCTGTGTCCCCACATCATCTTTGCTCCCACTGGGAAGGCCCTTCCCATTTGTCTCCTTTATCTTGAAGATTAAGGAGTAGGAAGGCTTTTCTAACTGCCCCAGTTCACGCTCATCGTCGCCCTCCCTCATCTGGGTTACGATCGCATCAGCTATCTGTGCTTGACACAGTGGGCATGAGGGCCAGCGGTGATGGTGTTCGTCTCTCCAACCATCTTGAACTCCTGAAGGACAAGGCCTGGGTCCCTACTGTTCTAAGGGTGCCCAGCCGGGAGGAGGAGCTTGATCAAGACTTGAAGAATGACAGAGTTGTTAGCACTTGGACCAGTCAGTGTTGCAGGAATTCAGGCCTGGGAGCCAGGAGTTCCTGGCTTCAGGTCCAGAGGACTCCCTTTTCCTGAGGATGACCGAATGGCTCTGGCAGCGTGAATGTCCCTCAGTGTGCTTGCGGAGCTCCTGCTTAATCGTGGATAAATTTTAAATTTCCAGGAAGCTAGATTAACTGTGTTTTAAAATCAGTGCATATGTGATGTCAGCTAGGTACAGAGGAAAAGGCATCAGGAAGTACATCAAGATTACAACAGCAGGGGTGATTGGGTGGCTCAGTTGATTGAGCTTCCAACTCTTGGTTTTGGCTCAGCTCATGAGCTCAGGGTCCTGAGAATGAGCGCTGCGTCTGGCTCCGCGTTGAGCATGGAGCCTGCTTGAGATTCTTTCTCTCCCCCTCTCTCTGCTCCTCTTTCTCTCTCTAAAAAATAAATTAAATTAAGAAAAAAAAGATTGCAACGGCAGTATTTATCTCAGAAGATGGGATTTTGGTTAGCTTCTATTTTCTTCTTTTCTGTATTTTATAAATATTAACCAATGTAAAAAAAACTTTTTCATTGCGTTTTGCAAAATATAAAACAATACAGAAAATGAAACAAAACATTATTCCAAATTCTATCGGCCAGGGACAACGTCCCTCAACATGAAAAATGAACATTATTTTAGCTTTCTCTATGATGTATTCAAAATATGTAATTTTTTGTAAAAGGTATTGTAGTATTAAATGCTTTCTAAAATGAGGACAATTTTTATATGTGCTTTCTAATTAGATTATTTAAAAAAGTAATCCTGGCAGAAAGAGTCACAGTTTGCTGCTACTTGGTACCCCAGTATCCATCCCAGAGCCTGGCACATGTTGGTGCTTAACAAATATTTACTGAATAAATGTAAGGAAACACAGTAATATATGTTCAGTGATTATCTCTGGGTGACAGAGCACAGGGTGATTTTCTTCTTCTTTCTACTTCCTTATATGCTCCACATTTTTACAGTGTTTCTATGTGCAATCTTGCACAATAAAAAGTTTTAATTAAAAAGCAACAGGATGCATTAAAAAAGATATATAGGGAGAGGAGTACTGGCTGCTGGACTATGAGTTAGGGTCCCCAGTATGGAGGAAGGCTGAGGATACAGTGAAGTGCCAGCCAGGCTTGGGGTCGAAAGGGCTAATGGTCACCAGCAAAGCCCAAAGCATGGGCAGGGTGTGAGTTCTAGCAGCAGACCAGCCTTTGTGGATCAGAGATCAGAATCCCGATATCAGCATGTCTCTGTGTTTCTGTGTTTCTTTTCTTGTTGCTTTTTCCTTAGTGTTCAGTTTTGCTAATCACAGGCAGTCCCATGTGTGCTGCAGAGACCTGAGGGAAGGGGCTTATGGTCACACTTGGGGGAGGACATTTGTAGGGGAGCAGCACCCCCAAGGGTCAACCTGAATGGGAAGACAGAATGTCACCTCCCACCCAGGGAGGAGAAAAAAAAAAGGACAAGCAAGAGCCCTCTAATACCGGGAAACTCTTCTTCCAGGGCTAAACCTAATCGGGGATGGGCGTGTATATCCATTCTTGATTCTCGAACAATAAGGGTTTGAACTGTCTGGGTCTACTTACGTGCAGATTTTTTTTAAGTTTTTTTTTTTTTAATTTAATTATTTTGAAGAAGACAGAAACAGTGCAGTGGGGGAGGGGCAGAAAGAGATGGAGAACCCAAGCAGGCTCACACTAGCTAGGAGGCCCGATGATTGGGGCTCGACATGTAAAACAAACCTGAAGGCCAAAACAAGAGTGGATGGCTTAACCATTGAACCACAGGCATGCATTAAAGAAAGAATTTTTTTTACCTCACTGCGTTATAAATGTATTTTCTCTTCCTTTTCCTACTTTTTTTTTTAATTTTAGATATTTAAATATTTATTTATTTATTTGACACAGGTGGGAGGGCAGAGAAGGAGAGAGAGAAGTCCCAGGCTTGAGCTCCACATTTGACAGCACAGAGCCCAGCATGGAGCTCGATCTCCTGAGCTCTTGAGGATCATCTGACCTGAGGTCAAATGGAGAGTCTGATGTAGTCCTGAGCCACTCAGGCACTCCAGGGGATAATCTTAACAGTTTTTTTGGGCATTGCAAATTACAAGGTGCTAAGACTTTAGATGTGTAAAGAATGTAATCCTCCCCACAATTCCATGAGGTAGTAGCTTTTGCTATCATCCCCAGTTTATAGATGAGGGCCCCAAGGCACATTGGGTTTAGCAGTTTACCCGAAAGGACACATAGCTGGTGAGTGGCAAAGAAAGGGTTTGGACCTAGGCAGGCTGGTGCACTGAGTTCAACAGCAGAGTGCTCCTGAAAAGCCTAAAATTACTTTACATGAGATGTAGCCACTTGAGGGGCTTTCTGGGAAGCATGAAAATTAGCTGCAAAGATATCACAGAATAACAGAATACTCAGGATATGACAGCAAAAATTTTTAAACAGAGGACCAAATTGTCTGTGTGGTTAGTTATAACTGTGTACAAGTTGCATGTATCGACAGGTGGGGTCTGGAAGGGAATATGGAAAAATAGAGTTGAAGTATCAAGGCAGGAGATTATGGGGGATTGTTTTCTCATGTAAATGCTTTTCTTGAATAATATTACGAATATATATACATATGTACTAATCTTTGCTATACCTGAAGAAGAGGATGACGAAGAGGAAGAGGAGGAGGAAGATGAAGAAGAGGAGGAGGAGGAAAAACACTTGTCTCTCTTGGGTTGTTCTTGAGGAAAGAATCCAGCTTCCCTGTCTTGCTTGTGGAGATCCGTCTCTCCATCTGGGAGGCACATATAGACAAGGATGAGTGTTTCTTGCCCTTCCTACCCCAGAGACCACCAAGACCTCCCCAGGTGTCTCCTTGGGCTTGGGGGCCAGGAATGGCTGGGATCTTTTCCCAAACATGTAGGGCCAGTGGAAGGTGCAGGAGATCAGAGTTCTCAGAAGCCTCAGGGGCTTTAGGAAGGCCCAAGGCATAAATTTCTCTGAATATGGAGACTAGAGAGGGGCTTTTCAGCCCCCATCCTGCCCAGAGGTCACTAGACTGTGTTGCCAATGTAGGATTCACTGTAAATTACAGGGCAGGTATGATCTGGTCAAGCGAACCCTCTCATCCCCCATTCTGGGGCCGAGCAGGACCATTCCCACCTTCTCAGGACTCTCCCCAGTGCGAGACCCTCTCCTAAGTCCCCAGAACCCCCTTGAGATTTGGGAAGCAACTGAGGGTCTGCAAAGCTAAAGAGTTCTAGGGGACAGACTGGACCAAGTGTGTGTGTGTGTGCATGTGTGTGTGTGTAAAACACTACTTCTCCAGAGGATTCAACTGTGACTTGAGCCACTGTGAAACATGAGCTAAGCAGAGCCTTCTGTTCCACCAGCACTGCTGGACTCTACCTCCCACGTGGCTTTGCCCAGAGGGTGAGAGGAGGCAAACATACAGTCCACATCTTCTGTTTCTCCAGGGACTCGACTGTGATCTTGAGTCTGGGAAGAAGGTCCTGAAGTCTCCATGGTTTTCCCTGGAAGAATAACAGTAAGTAATTAGAATAACAATAATAATTAATTTCACCTCAGTTAATCCCCTTAATGTGTAAACAGCTTGGCAAATAAAGAAGAAAAAGACAAACACCCAATATTCAAAAATACAAGAAAACAACTTATAAAAAAAGAATATACAATTAGGGAAATTTAAATAATGATCATCTTTTGATAATATTGGTAACTTATTTATTTTTTTAAAAAATAGACTTTAGTTGTTAGAGCAGTTTGAGGTTCACAGCACAATTGAGTGGATGGTACAGAGATAACCAACATGCCCCCTGGCCCCAAACATGTATTTTTAGGTGTGATATTTATTTACTTATTTTATTATTTAAAAAAAATTTTTTTAACATTTTATGTATTTTTGAGGCAGGGAGAGACAGAGCATGAACAGGGGAGAGTCAGAGAGAGGGAGACACAGAATCTGAAACAGGCTCCAGGCTCTGAGCTGTCAGCACAGAGCCCGACGCGGACGCGGGGCTCGAACTCACGGACTGAGAGATCATGACCTGAGCTAAAGTCGGCCGCTTAACGACTGAGCCACCCAGGCGCCCCTAGGTGTGATATTTATATTAAGGTTATATTGAGTTAAAGTGTCCTTAAATGTAAGGATAAATACTGAAATTTTTATGATAAAATTATATGATGTCTGGGACTTTCTTCAACATGATCTTATTGGGGGGTTGGAGGGTGTAGGTGGGAGTCCAAATAAACAAACACGACGAGTTAATAGTTATTGGAGCTCTATCAAAATATAAACTGTGGTTATCTCTGAGTGGTGATATAATGTATTTTTCGTTTCTTATTTTTACTTTACATTTTCTAAATTTTTAACAGTATTGCTTTTGTTGTAATAAAATAGCCAAGAATCTTTCCTTAGTTAAAAATGTAATATGCCAATATCAGAATAGTATATATCAGTGTATATCAGTACTTAAGCCCTTTTACAAAGGGCTTCTCTGAGCCTGATCACAAACCAAAGTCAGGTAGGAATTTGGCTTAATTGCTCCTCACATTTGGATTATAGTTTCTAGACAACAAAACTTCCCCAAATATTGTCTCCTTTGACTGTTACAATCACCCTTCAAGGTATTTTTATTACCCCTATCTTATAGAGGCACAGAACCCATATGAATACACCTCAAAACATTGGTCTGGGGCACAAAACTACTCAGAGGCCACTCTGGAGTCCGGCCCTGCTGGAATGCCTTTCCAGCATTTCCATGCATTTCCATGGAATTCCAGCATCCACGATTATGGTGACGGTAAGGGCAGGAAGCAGGCACTTGAAGGTGAAGAGCAAAGTTTGGAAATCTATCCCATCAGGACACTATACTCCGTACTTTCCTGAAATTCTGAGAGGGAGCTAGAGGTAACTCTGGAGGGTGGCTTTCAGGTGAACGTACAAGAAGGCCATAACTGTGGCCTTGGAAAATCCAAACGGCTGACCAGAGTCAGTTAGTGCTCTCGGTGGGGAAGATATATGGAGAAGGGCTCCCCTACAAAGCCTTTATTTTAGCTGGGCACATGGCCACCCAGCTACGGACTATGTTCCCAGCATCCCTTGAAGCTAAGTGTGGCCATTTGACTACATTCCTGCCAATGGAATGTGTGTGGATGTGATATGTGTGGTGGTGTGACAGTAACTGTTTAATGGCTCTCCAGGAGAAAAAGTACATACACATGCACACACACACACATTTGTTATAAGTTACTGATGTAAAAAAAGCATAGCATACAGTTTACAAATAATAAAATATACAGTACTCTTTATTGCAAATCCCACACACCTGTAACTTCAGTGTGATTTGGAATTTCTTGCAAAACCTGCTATCAGTTTTTTATAAGTCCATCATCAGCAATAGTGTCAAAATCAAACTACTATAAGTTATTGATTACTATCAGTTTCAGCAAAAAAGTTGCCGACACGATTGATGAACGTGAATACTCCTAATGTAAATGTCAGCTGATATTTTCTTTCACATTAACGAGTAAGACAAAAGTGAAACAACCAAGGCATTCATTGTCACAGTTTGTCAGTGATATGAGCAACTTCTTTGCTGAATAGCATTAGTTTTCAAATTCCGGAAGACTATTTTCTCAACTTGTGCTATTTACAATGTAATGGCTATAGGTGCAACCCAGTTTTAGGTTGAATCTGCATTATTAGTGTTTTCTTGATCACTTTCTAACATTTAGACCATCAACAAAATGAACCATCAAGCTCTGATTTGTAGAGGTGACTATTTTCTGTGGTGTAAATGAAAGGGCAGGCCTACGCCGGCCGACTCCATCTTGTTCTG